AGTCCCTTGGCCCTTAAAGGGGAAAGGTTGCCTACCCCTGCTGTAGTTCATTGTGGCACCAGAGCTCTCTCTGACAGAGAAGGCTTAATGTCTCACAAAGCTACAGTTCCCACAATTCCCTAACATTGGGCCAGGGCAGTTAAAGTGGTCTCGAACTCTGGATTATTTCTGCAGTGTGCTTTGAACCAAGGTTCAGTTTCCCTGCTCAGCCATGGAAACCCACTGGGGTGACCTTGGGCAAGTCACACTCTCTCACTCTCAGAGGGAAAAGCGAAAGCAACCCCTCTTCTCTGAACAAATCTTGCCCTGTCCCACTGTGGTTTCACCTTTGTTGTTGTGGTGGTTGTTGTGTGCCTTCCAGGTCATTTTCCGATTTATGGCAAGATTTGTTCAGAGGAGGTTTTGTCATTGCTATGTCTTGAAGCTGAGAGAGTGCAGCTCATCCAAGGTCACCCCAGTGGGTTTCCATGGCTGAGCAGGGCATGGAACCTTGGTTCAAAACACACTGCAGAAATAATCCAGATTTGAGACTGTTTTAACTACTGTGGCTCAGTGCTAGGGAATTTTGGGAACTGTAGTTTTGTGAGACATTTAACCCCTGTCAGAGAGCTCTGGTGCCACAATAAAATACAATTCCCAGGATTCCCTAGCACTAAGCCAGGGCAGTTAAAGCAGTCTCAAACTGGGTTATTTTTGCAGTGTGTTTTGGACCTTTGTCTCCAGAATCATAGTCCAGCGCTCTAACCCCAGTTTTGACACCTCTTTGACTGCTGTAGCTTCTTCCTCTGGAATTCTGGAATTTGTAGTTTTGCAAGGTCTTTACCCGTTTCTGCTGAAGGATGCTGGTGTCTCACAAAACTCTCATGAAAATCCCTTAGATTTGCATTTTGTCTAGCTAGGCGTCACATTAAGATATAGATATTCTCTCCAACAGAGGGGGGTTGCAGACTGCCAGAAATAGTGCAAATTGAGTCCACTTTTAGGGTTAGGGTTAGTGCTAGGGAATCATGGCAATTTTTTTTTCTGAGACATTGAGCCTTCTCTGTCAGAGAGCTCTGGTGCCACAATAAACTACAGTTCCCTTGATTCCCTAACCCTAAAAGTGGACTCAATTTGCACTATTTCTGGCAGTTTGCAACCCCCCAGAGTCTCTATCAGTTTTATGCAAGCTAGTGCTTTGTTTCCAGTGGAGTGTTTGTGGTTTTTAGGTCCATAACAATGTCTTACAGAAGGAGAAGGTTATCAGTTCTTGATGTAAATGTAAAAGTACAGGCTATGTCTAGCTTGTAGGAAATGGAAAGTTAAGTGATCCTGAGCTGATGTAAGAAAAAAAGGGGGCTGGGTGTTAAGTTTAACATGCTGTTCATTGGAGAGAGGATGCCTTTTCCTCTGGAAAGACCCCAGGAGAGAGGAGAAAGTTGAATGGATACAGTTTCCCCAGCCAGTCACTAATTTACTTCTATCTCTATCTCTCTCTGTTCTTCAGGGAGTTCAAACTAGGGTCACTTTCTTAATGTAACTGACGAGAAAAGGCAACAAACAGCACAATAGTAGCAAAACCCCTTCTTCTTTCTTAGAGATCTCTGATGTTCTAGGGATCATATGCACTAATACACTATTAGTGAGCCTTATGTGGTGCAGTGGTTTGAGTGTTGGACTATGACTCTGGAGACTCAGGTTCAAATTCTTGCTCAAGCATAAAAACTCATTGGGTGATCTTGGGCAAGTCACACTCTCTCAGCCTCAGAGGATGGCAGTGGCGGCACCCCCCTTGAAGAAATCGGCCAAGAAAACCCTATGGCCTTAGGGTCGCCATGAATCAAAAATGACTTGGAGGCACACAACAACAACAACAACAACAACTTTCTTAACATCATTTGGACTTTTATTCCTTGAATTCCATTTTTTTTAAAAACACCACAATTTTCCCTGTTAAAGAAAAGGTGTCTGCACCTTCCTTTTTCATTCTAAACTGAGACAAGTGACATACTGTATATGTATTCCAGGTTCTATATTTATAAATAGTAGCAATCACATTTTAAAATAAGAGGCTCGTATGTTTCTTTGAAAGGATGGTTGACTATTCTTGTATTTCTATTTGTGAATGCTCAATTGACTTTTGCAAAGATCTAATCAGATGAGGTGTAAATGTCCTGATCTGCTTCGTCAACTAGTAAACTTGAACACATATATAGATCTGTGGGTGGAAAATGGCTTGAACTTGCTGCTTCATATAGCAACGGGCACTACTTTCATAAGAACATATCAATTCAAGGGTAGTTCATAAATTTTCCATTAAAACAAATAACTCTATTTGATGTCATTAATTTTAGCTGGGGTACTCTACGTTTCTTCCCTGAGGTTATTGGAAGTGTGTGTGAAAACATACAGGAGACTTGCAAGATTTGTGTTTACCTGTCCCTTCCTCATGGGGTGCATCTACTGTTGCTGTGTGCTTCCAAGTCATTTCCAACTTAGGGTGACCCTAATATGCGGTTTTCTTAGCAAGATTTTTTCAGAGGAGGTTTGCCATTGCCTTCTCCTGAGGTTGAGAGAGTCTGACTTGCCCATGGTCACCCAGTGGGTTTCACTGCTGAGTTAGGAATCGAACCCTGGTCTCCAGAGTTCTAGTTTGACAGCATTTTAAGTGCTGTAGTTCTAGTATATAAAATCCTGGAATTTGCATTTTTACAAAATCTTAGCTATTTCAGCCAAAGAATGATGGCACCTCAGAAAACAACAAATCCTAGGCTTCTGTAGGATGGAGCTGTAGCAGTTGAAGTGGTGTCAAACTGCATTCTTTCTACAGTGTAGATATCCCAGGAGCTATTGGCCAACATGGGACTATTGGCCAACATGGCTGAGGCTTCTGGGAGCTGAAGTCCCTCAGCCCTTAAAGGGGAAAGGTTGCCTACCCCTGTGCAGTGTAGATGTACCCATAATCTTCAGTCATGAGCCTTTAGTAATAAATGGTGGTTGGTGGTATGCCTTCAAATTATTTCCAATGTAGGGTTGCCTTAGGGTCACCATATTATGGGGTTTTCATGGCAAGATTTATTCAGAACAGGTTTGACTTTGCCTCCTCTGAGAGAGTATGACTTGGCCAAGGTCTCCAGGTGTGCTTCCATGACCCACTGGGGATTTAAACTCTGGTCTTCAGAATTATAATCCAACATTCAAGCCACTATAGTACATAAATCCCTACCATAATTTACTTTCTAGTGCCTTTTGCTACAACATTGCTCCTTATATCCTTCCCACCTGAGTCCAGTAGAAGCTTTAATACTGAGTTCAGAATTATTTTTCAACTTCTGTAATATCTCAATCATATATATATATATATATATATATATATATATATATATATATGCTTAACCTATATATTTGTGAAACATAGGTACCTTCTAGCACATTGAATAATTGGATATTTATTTGAATAAATGCATTCTTTCTGGACAATATAAAGAAATAATTTGTGTATGCACGTATGTGCCATCAAGCCATATGTCAACTTACAGCAATCCCATTAACTTCAAAGGGCTTTCTTAGGCAAGGAATATTTGGAGGTAGTTTTGCCAGATTCATCCTCTGAAATAAAGTCTAAAGTAGCTGGTATTCTTTGGTGGTCTCACATCCAAGTACTAAACAGAACTGATCCTGATTAGCTTCCAAGATCAGACAGGGTCTGGTGCTTTTAGGGTATTTAAACTGTGCAGAAATAATACATGGCTGCAATTGAAAATAGCATACACAGTTTTCTTCTAAATTGTGAACAGTGGTTAAATTGTATATAGTGGTTATAGCTGACATGATTTTTTCTGAATAAATTGTGAAAACTAGAAGCTAATCAAGTTGTTAGTCCCAGCTAGAATAGATCCATACTGAATCAAGGACACATGAGCTTTTTCTTAATCAGCACCATTCATTCTGTGGTTCTAACTCTAGTTGGCAGTAACTATTGGATTTAATTCTGGGTAAATTTTTTTTTTAAATGAAGTGTCAACTGGAAAACATTTATAGTTGATTTCTGCACAGTTGACATTGGGTGTGCATTTTACTTGATCATCCATATATCCAAGGGGGAAGTTCACCTCTGTTCTCCATTTTACTGAAGTGTTGGTATTTTCATTATATGAAATGGATAGGGATGATTGAGGAGACTATACATCTATAAATAGCATACAGATCTTAAGTGTATGGGCCTAAATTGTTAATCCCCTTAGAATAGACTTTTTGCTCAGTGGCCGGGCAGGGGAGGGGCTGGTAGGTCAGCACCTGTGTTATGTTTTATTGGTTGGGTTGGGTCTAGGCTGGAGTGGGAACTTATGCTGTCCTATAACTCCTAGCATTCCACAGCCTTGCCTTTGTTGAATAGGGCTATTGGGAGTTGCATTTTATCAACATCTGGAGGGCCATATTATTCTCACTCCTGAGTTAGGTAATAAACTTTTAACAGTTCAACAAGTTTAGCCTTCCTACCAAAACAGTTTTTCTTGGTCATAATAAATTAGTTCAAGCTAGCAGACTTGTATGCAAAAAGAGTTTTAATTTTGCTTCCTATATAAGAACTATTTTTCTCCACTCCCAAATAATAAAAAAAATCTTCATGGCATGCCAATAGTGTATCTTTTTTTTTAAAAAAAACTTGTCATTTGCATTAAATAATAAATACAGAAGTAGCAGATATTCATCTAGGCATGATTTGTGTGATTTGTTGTTAACTGCCTTTGAATTGACCCTGACTCATGGTGACTCTGTGGATGAGAAACTCCAACTCCCCCTATCCTCCTCTGCTCTGCTGAGGTTCTGCAAACTGGGGCCTGTGACCTCTTTGAGCAATCTGGCATGAAGTCTTCCTCTCTTTCTGCTACCCTCTACCTTTCCTAGCATCATTTGTCTTTTCTAATGAATCATTTTTCCTCTTGATGTGGCCAAAGTACGATAGCCTCAATTTAGTCATCTTGGCTTCCAGAGAGAGTTCAGGCTTAATCTGTTCTAGAACCCATTTGTTTGTCTTCTTGGCCGTCCATGGTATTTTCAGTACTTTTCTCCAGCACTACATCTCAAATGAGTTTATTATCATTCGGTCCCTTTCTTCATTGTCCAGCTCTCACATCTGTACATGGTAATTGGGAATACAGTTGCTTGGATGATTCTAGCTTTAGTGGTTAGTTGTATATCTTTACACTTTAGGATCTTCTTTCATGGCTGTTCTTTCCATTCCTGATTTCTTGAATGCAGTCTCTGTTCTGGTCAATATTTGATCTAAAGTATGGGATATCTTTAAATATTTCTGTTTCCTCATTATCTAGGTTGAACTTATGTAGATCCTCCATGCTCATTATTTTTGTTTCTTTCTGTTCAGCAGTAGCCTATCTTTGTATTTCTTTCATTTTCCTTAGTAGTTCTATGTTTATGATATTTTCCACTCATAGTATGGTGTTATCTGCATATCTTAGATTGTTGAGTTCCTTTCTCCTATCTTCAGTTCTCCTTGTTCTGTGTCTAAACCTGCTCTTCATATGATTTTTTCTTCATACAAGTGGATGATAGAATGCAGCCTTGGTTGACCTCTTTGTCAATTGGGAACCATTATGTGTCCCCATTCTCTGTTCTAACAGTAGCTTCTTATCCTGAGTACAGATTCTTCATCAGGACTATCAAATGTAGTGGCAGTCCCATTTCCTTAAAAGTATTCCATAGCTTTTCGTGATCTACACACTTAAAGATTTTGCTATAATCTATAACCACATGCTGATTTTCTTCTGGAATTTTTTGGTTAGCCCCATTATACATTGTATGTTTGCTATGTGGTCCCAGTGTCTCTTCCTTTTTTGAACCCTGCTTGTATCTCTGGGATTGTCTCTCCATATATGATAGGAGTCTATGCTGCAGAATTTTGAGCATAATTTTGCTTGCATGGGAAATGCTGTGGTCCCATAGTTACTGCTGTCTTTTGTGTTTCTTTCTTTGTGGATGTATATTAATTGTTTCAAATCTGTTGGCCACTGTTTTGTTTTCCATATTTGTTGGTACACAGTGCAGCTGCCCCGTAATTGGGCTTGCCATCTGTGGACTCAAGCTCATGTGGACGGCAAGCCCCGGGCATTAAAATGGCATACACGTGGCACTGCACACGGGAGCATGCAGCCATAGCAAACAATGGGACTTGAGGTCCCACATTTTTTTCCATATGGGGGTGGGGTCCAGAACAGATCCCCCATATATACAAAGGGTCCACTGTATTTTAGTTGAGTTGATTCAGTCTATGTGAATTGTAGCAGTTCAACTGGAATATCATCTGTTCCTGGTGATTTATTTTCCCCAATTTATCTTTATCTCAGCCTCCACCTCACCTTCTAGAATTTGGGGTTCATCTTCATATGGTTCCTCATTCCATGTATCATTCATTTTATCATCTCATATACACATCTCTTCTGTGTATATCAGGGGTAGGCAACCTAAGGCCCGGGGGCCGAATGCGGCCCCCTGAGGCCTTTGGACCGGCCCTAGGCCGGTCCTGCCGCCGCTGCCACCCCCCCATCACCCGCCATGATGATAGTGATTATTGTTGTTATTACTTGTTCTTGAGCTTTTCTTGGCAAAATCTCCACAGGGGTTTTGCCATAGCTTTTCTGGAGCTGAGAGAGTGTGCATGCATATATTTTTTAATTGTTTAATTGTTTTTTATTTATTTA